CAGACAGGAGTTGTTAGACCATCTGTTTGTCTTCATACCTGTATTTTCTTAGTTGTCACTGTAATGAGCAAAGGCAGGCTTTAAGTAGTGTGGCCTTAAGCAGGAATCCATTTGTGAGGCTTAAATACAGCAACTGTTCTACCACATGACTTTCCTCATGAGGAAAAACATACAGTTGGAGATGAACTGCAGATCCAAGAGTGGAATTTCTGGTGGAGTTTAAATCTCTGAGAGAAATCAAGTCCTTCCTGGAGCACTATTAGCCTTTAATTGTTGATTAAATAATAGAATTATTTACTACTTCTAATGTAGCAGGTCCATCTCCTATGGAGAAATTACTCCAGTTTTACCAGGTATGCCACTGGGATTAATTACTGTAGTTTCTACATTAGCACTAGGCCCCAAAACTTCCTAAACTAATGAAACCAGGCTTTTCGTTTTAGTACGTAGAATTTGGTCCACTTAATTTGTTCAGCTTTGTTTTTCTTCCCATTATTATCATTAATAATCGAACAAACTATCTCAGACTTTTCTCCAGCAGTGTCCAGAAAGGAACAAAACACCTTTTTGTGCAAATCCCTTCTGCAGAAGAGAGGAAGACTCCACCTCTGTGAAGACTGAATCATTAAAGAAGCAAAAGGTGGCAGTGGTAGTGCAAACCATATCTGTCCTTTCTGTGTGCTTATGGAATTCCCTTAAAACATGGCCAGTTTTCCCCCACATCTGCAGCTTACCAGGACTCAGTAGCAAAGTTCCATCCACTTTTTCTTGCCTTTCATACCTCAGTGCTCCCCACTGAAGTCTCGGTTTTCATCCAGTCCTATCACAGAGCCCGGGGTGTTTGGCACTGGGGAAGGTTTTTTCACCTGATGGTAAAAGCCTCTATGGCATTAATTCTCTTTGTGAAGACTGATAAGTAAGCAGAAAGGTACCCCATGAGCTCAGGTCCAATGCAGCAGAGAGCAACCAGCCAGACACGTTTGTTCAGAACTTTTCAAGACTGGTTGATCATGTTTTGAACAGAGACTAGGTTCTCCTGCAGTCATTGAAAAGGGGTTAAAAAGAGATTTGTGAGTAAGAAAATGGCCATGGAAGGCGTAATGAGTAGGACACAACCAAAATCAAGGCAGCAAAGCACATAACACTCCATGAGCAAAGCTATCCTGTCTCCAAATGGTTCCATGCACGGCAGTGCTCTGAGCTGACAGGTGCACCTTTCCCAAAATGTATGCTGAAACGAGATAGAACAGAAACAGCAAGGAAGGACCAAGAAGCAGAACAGAGACACAGGAATTCACCATTGCTCCTTGGTGGGAAGTAGCTCAGCCCAATGTACCTCTCCCATCCCGTTCAGTTGCAAAGCAAGAGCAGATCCCTGGTTCTCTGACTCCTAAATACAGTGTGAGATCCCAAACAGTGATGGGAATGACAGGAGAGAGAGCCAAAGCATGACAGCTCCTATAAAATTCCATTCATAAAGCTTCATATTTGCGAGATGCCAAGCCAGCAACTTGTTGGAAGAGCAAGAAATACCTCCAAGGTGAGCTGTGCAAAGCCAGGGGGAACCACGGCAAAGCTGAACAGAGGAGAAAAGGAGCGAGTGGGAGGGAAGAATTCTTGAGACAAAAGTCAAATCTTTTAGCGTGGCCAGCTTTGCTCCCAGCTCCCACTTTCCCCGCAGCAGCCGAGGGTCCCGTGTGCGGGATGTGTGGATGGCGCTGCCACCTCGTGTCGCCTGCCAGAACTGCTCCCCGATCCCACGGAGCTGCAGGCGATGGCACTGCATGTCCAGGCAGAGCGGCCACACCCCTTTTACGTTTCTTAGCGTTTTTTATCCCCCGCTATGGAGTCTCCTCCCTTCTCGTAGACCACAGTCAGTCCTTCTTTCCTAGAGCTGACTTCCAAAGGGAGTTGCTCCAGACATTGAGCAGTTGGGTAATTAAAGAGCACGAGGGATCTTAAGCTGGAAATTTGGTGCTTTCAGCACAAGTGACGGGTAGAAAAAGCAGTTCTGACCTTCAGTGGTGGCCAGACTTGTAAAGAATAGGATTAATAGACACCTTCGTGCTGGCCAGATTCTCCAGCCATGCTGCATAAACTAATCTGCTAGGGCAGATTCTAACTCATCTCTCCAAAATTCATGTCTTGATTTGCTTGGGCACTAAGTGTAAAAACCACAGCCAGTAACGTCAGACATTCACAAATTTGGTGGGCACTCCTGTCTCTTGAAGCCCGTGTGGACGAGTTTTCTTCACACTTCTTCAGCCAGTCTTACATTGCCCAGTATGAGCAGCTCGACAGGAGAGCGTTGGTATTTTGTGTCAGGAGCTCCAGGAGTCTGTATTTACACAAACCCTGCAGCCTGTTTTTGTGAACATAGCATTCTGTAGGCACTAAACTTAGTTCTCTTGATGTAACAACACAGAAACTAATTTAGTTTAAGAAATGTTTAAAAGCACCCTAACCTGAGGCCAGTCAGATGTATTTGGTTACACTTGATATGGACATTCAGGTGTGTGGACATTCATAGCTGTGTTTAGATTGACTCAGATATTAATTAGAAGAAATATTACTGAATCACAGAATCACTAAGGTTGGAAAAGACTTCAAAGATCATCAGGTCCAACCATTCCCCAGCACTGCCAAGCCAACCACTAAATCACGTCCCCAGGTGCCACATCTACATGTCTTTTAAATCCCTCCAGGGATGGTGACTCCACCATTGCCCTGGGCAGCTGTGACAGTGCCTGACCACCCTCTCAGTGAAGAAATTTTCCCTGATACCCAATCTAAACCTCCCCTGGTGCAACTTGAGGCTGTTTCCTCTCATCCTGTCTCTTGTTCCCTGGGAGCAGAGCCCGACCCCCCCCAGCTCCCCCCTCCTGTCAGGGAATTGGAGAGAGTGAGAAGGTCCCCCCTGAGCCTCCTTTTCTCCAGGCTGAGCCCCCCCAGCTCCCTCAGCTGCTCCTGGTGCTCCAGACCCTTCCCCAGCTCCCTTCCCTTCTCTGGACACGCTCCAGCTCCTCAAGGTCTTTCTTGTCATGAGGGGCCCAAAACTGCCCCCAGGATTTGAGGTGTGACCCCACCAGTGCCCAGCACAGGGGGACAGTCCCTGCCCTGGGCCTGTGGCCAAACCATGGCTGGTACAGCCCAGGTGCCCTTGGCCTTTCCTGCCCACCTGGGCACACCTGGGCTCATACTTCAACAGGAAATCATCCTGTGAACTGAAGCTTAAAAACAAGTGTTACTGGAACCCAGGAGACTTGTGTGAGACATTCTGAAGCCACACACAAACACATTCAAATATGTCAGAGAACATATTTTTCCCTCACGCGTTCTCCTCGTTTTCTCACACTGCTCCTTCCTTCTGTGGCCTCATGTTCTTGGGCCTCCTCCCGCCCCCTGGCAGCTGATGAACGTGGTGGCTGATCCCTTTAACATGGGGAAATGCACACTATGCAGTCTGTACCACCAGACTACACTAAATTGCCAGCTGCTTTTTTGGAATTGAGTTTTTCCTAGGCTTTATGCCAAACAATCCGTGCCCATGGAAGATCCAGCTGCTTCAAGCTGCTCAAGAGTCCAGCCTCATCCATTGCTGCCATTTTTTCCTTCCTGCCCTTTTCATACTGTTGCATACCTTCCTCTCTCTTTTTTTTTAACTGCCTCGTGCAGATCACACCCTTTCCCTCCACTTTCTTGTTTCCCCTTCTGCAACTTCCCCTTCTCCTCACCCCACAGGAACACATCCATTTTTCTATGAATAGGTATTTGGGATGGGCTTTTTTTTAGCTTTTTCCTTCTGCCTCCGTGAAAGTAACATCCCTTCTGAAACAGGACACTGGTGAAAACTGTCCTTCAGAGGAGTGGAAGAAGCAGCAATGAAAATTTTGTTCCCTACAAATGGCACAGGAATGGAAGAGGATTTATGTGGTGCCCCCTTGCCAGCAGATGTTCTGTCAGGGTTCTTAACAAAGCGGCACAGCAGCAAAGAGAGTGTCATTTTACACCTCTGGGAAGAGCTGTCCAGAAGACAATGAAGAGTCTAACCCAAGTCAGAGAAGGGATGAGAAAAGCTCATGGTAACAGTGGCTCTAAGGGGGATAAGCAACACAGGGGAGGAAAGGCCTGGATTCTTACCTTGCTTCCCACTACCCAACCAGCTTCTGCAGCCAGATCAGAAAGGCAGAACACAAACACCCCCTTTAGCTCTCATCCCTTCCCTGGGCTGCAATTCCAGTGGACTGTTGGTGACTCAGAGGGACTGTGCACACCCCTGGGAGCCCAACTGCATATTGTACTGAGGCAATGAAAGAGGCTGCAGCCTCTGCACCACGGCTCCTGGAAGTGTTCTCAGCTATTCCATGCTCCTGTGTTCCAATTAAAGGCTGAACAAGCTTTTAGCAGGTATTTTCTTGCAGAAGGCAAACATTCAATCGGCAAAGATATATGTATATTTTCTTATGTTATTTAAAGAAAAAAACAAACCACCTGGGCTTTCATCCATACAGCACAAAAAGTCACAGATGGAAACTTTTCCCTCCCTTTTTAATATCAGAACTAAAAGCAGGAACTTAAGAAAACCACAAGCCCTAAACACCACCAGCAGTGATGCAGTGTCAGGCATGGAGTTTCACTGGCAGCCTACAGGAAGGTGCAATTCAGAGACACCTAGAAGGTGCCACCATCACTGATGGACTGCCAGCAGCATGGCAGAAGGTGCCAGCCACCGTGACCTGCCCCAGCACACAGCCAGCAGGCCTTACCCACTAAGGTGGTTTTGTTCCTGCAGCTCAAAAACAAATTACACGGTGGCCAAAAATCGGATTCGTTCACACCGTTCTCAGGCTGCCCAGTTACCCCTCCTGTTATTCAGGGTAGAGCATCTGGAGTCAGGAAAGTGTGAACCCCAGCTTTTTGCCAGCAGCTGTGAAGCACAGCAAACCTCTGGCACAATATAAGAAATATATGAAGACATTAGAGAGTGTCCAAAGGAGGCAACAGAGATGGGGAAGGGCCTTGATTTGAAGCTGTGTGAGGACACTGAGGGCACTTGGTGTGTTCAGCTGGAGGAGACTGAGGGGAGACCTCAGAGCAGTTCCAGCTGCCTGGGCAGGGGCAGAGGAGGGGCAGGGACTGAGCTCTGCTCTGGGGGGACCAGGGACAGCAGCCAGGGAATGGCTGGAGCTGTGCCAGGGCAGGCTCAGGTTGGATCTCAGCAAAAGGTTCTTCCCCCAGAGGCTGGTTGGGCACTGCCCAGGCTCCCCAGGGCAGTGGGCACAGCCCCAAGGCTGCCAGAGCTCCAGGAGGGTTTGGATGATCCTCTGGGGCACAGGGGGGGACTCTTGGGGATGGGCCTGTGCAGGGCCAGGGGTTGGACTGGATGATCCTTGTGGGTTCCTTCCAACCCAGCACATTCTGGGATTCTGTGACAGCAGGAAGCTGATGTTCCACTGCTGGATCAAATACTTCACTCTTTATCCCTTGGTAAAGCTTTGAGCTGCATTATTTTGAATTCCAGAGTAGAAGGCACAGAGGAAAATAAGCTAAGGAACATCTGAGATCAGTAGAAGCCGCCTGAATATTTAGTCAATATAATTAGGAATAAGGATACAAACTGTCTTAGTTAGGAACAGTCTCATCAATGGAAATTAAGGGAAAAATGTTTGTTATTAGGGAACCACCAAATTGAGTGTTTTCCCTAAATTTGAGGTCGCATAGACCTGAATGCTGGGAGACTGTTTACCCTAAAATTTCTCTATAAAACCATGAGTAAGGTTTCATGGAGAAGATAAAGGAGAAACTATCTTTTAAGTGTCAAGCAATACAAAACAGTGCATACTTAAATGAACTGTTGCTTTTTCTTCTCTCCTTAAAATTAATTATGAAGAATTGTAGTTCCTCAAATAGATTACTGTTTGAAAACAGAAATGACCTATTTCAATAAAGATCTGAAAACACTGTTATTGAGAATAATGGATCATTCAAGTGCTAGCAAGAGTTTATTTTAAAAAGTTCTGTTCTTTTAATATTTTTTTTTGGCTCTTATGATCTCTTTAAAACCATATACTAAAGAATCAGTTTGCAATTTTTTCCTGCCTCGTGGAGGTAGCCTTAATCAGCAAGTAGCACACTACAAACATTGTCCTAGTTAAACTTCAGTATAGACTGGGTTTTAAGTAAATTTTAAATTTCCTCTCAGGTTTTCTCCAGCATAATCCCAAAAATCAGCTTTCATTAGAGTGCTCCCACTCGGTATATTAGAAGCCAACAAACAAGCTGTATCTGGTTCCAGATGTTAAAAGTATTTCAGAGGCAAAGCTGTGGGTTTTGGAGGGTTTTTTTAACACAATTACCGGACCTAAGACATTTTACAACCCCCTCACTTGATAATTATGAAAGCTGGTAGCTCAGTTCAGGAGCAGCATGTCCTGAAGTCACAGGGCTGGGCAAGGTAAGGGGCAGAGCAGGTCTCAGGTTACCTTGGTATTTCTCGTGGAAATTTGCATTTGCATCCCCCCCTCCTTTCCTGGGAAAGGACTGCAATGCCTGTAGAAGAAAAGAAAGGACTAGGATGAAGTCATCTTTTGAGTGGTTTGTACATGAGTGGTTTTCCCAACAACCACTAATGAATGTTTGCTTGAAGCTTTTATAGATAAACACTCAAAATAGCACTCAAAAATAATAATAATATAATCAGTGAACATTAACTAGCTACTTTGCTTGGGTTTGAGCTCACAGAGGTGATCTTCACATTTTTTAATTGTCTTTTTTTTTAATTTTTTTTAATTGTTCTTGGGTGGAAAAATACCTTTTCTTGGTCCTGCAGGGCAATGTACTTCATCACAAGAATGTGAGTATATTTTTGAAACTATAACTCCTGTAAGTATTTGTGCAGCTGAGTTTTACCATCTTACCTAGTGGGATCTCCAAAAAAGCACCTATGTCTTAATTTTCGTTGCCTTCATCCCACAAAAGCAGGTACACAGGGACTTCCAGGTCTCCTCTTGTCTTCAGGCATCTCAGTACATCCAGAAATCTGCCTTGCACCTCCTCTGGGAAGTGCAGCTTCTTTTCAAGCCTTGCTTGCAAGAAACAAAGGACCACTGCTGGATTGCTGACTCCACTGCAAGCAGGAGTGTGACATTCACTGGCAGATTCCTTTCCTGGAGACTGACTCCAGCCACATCTGCAGCTGGAATGCAGCTGGTGACCCACCCTCCATGTCTGCACAGGCAACACTCCCCCCAGGCACGGAAGGGAATTTTCTACACAGAAGAGAGTCAAAGAAATGGATGTTTTAATTAATAGGCATTCACTAGACAGGCTTTTAATCTAAATATTCTCCTTTAGTTCTCTCATTTTCTTTCTTACTAAGGCATTCTTGAATCACACTGTTCAACTATTTAACAGGCCTGGTCTCAATGCAGATGGATTTACACCATGTTTCTTCCCCAGATCATCCTGCAGGTAAAGCTCCTGTTTTAGAAATGCAGAACTCTACAAGCAGGGCTCTGCTAGTTCACTGCACACCACTGAACAAGTGTTTTCCATGTCCAAGGAAGAACTGGCATCTTGCTCTGCAGGTATAAATTGTGTTGAAGAGCTGGTGTCACGCAGCTGGACTGCTACCAGGTAGGTAGGAACCCTACCTGGGGACAGAAGAGCCATTAAACTAGAGTATAAAACCAGATTTAATATTTCTAGGGGCCAATATCAAGTCATCTCAGAGGTCCTTTCCAACCTGGCTGATTCTATGATTCTGTTGATCTGGGAACATCTTTGTATTGATGGGGCAAACCTCAGCCTTGGGGCATTCTCCTTCGGGGGCTTTTTGTGAGTTTGTTTTGTTGAATCTACTGGACAAACATCAACTTAATGCTTTTTCATAGAATCCCTGACTGGTCGGAAGGGACCTTAAAGACCATTCATTCCACCCCCGGGCCATGGGCAGACACCTTTCACTAGACCAGGGTGCTCAGGGCCTGTCCAGCCTGGCCTGGAACACTGCCAGGGAAGTGTTCAAGACCAGGCTGGATGCAGCCCTTGGAGTACATGAGTATTTTGGAGAGTACATGAGAAATGAAGATGTAATTTCAGGACGACTTGTCACCGCTGCCACCAAAGCATTAAGTCCTACCCTTCTTTAACACGTACCAGGTACAAGTGTTTGCAAAGCTATTCAGTGACACACATTAAAACAGCCTGATCCAGGCCAAAAACAATCCAGGAAGACCCCATGGAACAATAGGGGATGGTTCTCCCTGAATATGAGCACAAAGAATTAATTTTCTAGCTCTGCAGCAAACTTCATGCAAAGTATCCAGTTTCTCCCAGACAAAAGTCGCTGTATATTTGGCCTCACGCTGAAAATCACTTTGGCAGACGACTTAAACCGCAAAACCAAGAGGCAGAACACACAATTCCTTTTCTCTTTTATTGCTCCTGCCAATGTGACCACCTTTACGCAGGCACATTGCCTTCCTACATTAAACACTGTGTCATTAATCTGGAAGCAACATTTCTTTGCCCTCTACCCCCTCCTAAGGTTATCCAATTAACACGCAGTTATCCTTTTAAGAAGTTCTCACATTTTCTCTCTTTTTTTTTTTTTTACTCAGATCTGTGTAAAGGTTACTTGGCAAGATTACATGCATACGACGTTAAATGGAGACCAACCCACCACTAAAAGGTAATGCACATAGAACATAATACAGTACTTTGACATCATTTCAAATAAATACCCACATACAAATGTAGTAATTTTAAATGCAACAATATTTCTTATGAATCAATACTGTAACAGAAGATGGAAATATAAGTCCCCACATCTAGGAATAATAATGCTTTTTCCAGCAAACAGAAACCTCTTCCGCGCCAGCAATATTGGTTCAATTTGTCCTTTTTGATTTTTTTTTTTTTTGAGGAGCGGGAGAACTCCTCCCCCCTCCAGCCCAAGTACCAATTTAATCATTCCCAGGAGCCTCAACGAGCCCAGCAGGGCTGGTTGAGGCGCTTCCCCAGCGTTTCTGTTTGCTGAAATCACACTCGGGTCCGACATGCAAGAGGAGATGTGGATGTGCCGCCCACGCCCGCGCAGCGCCCGGGAGCGCGAGGTTCCACCCGGGGCTGTGCCCCTGCATCACTCAGCTGTCCAACGTGAGGCCATTTGGTTCCCGACCTGCAGTCGGGCTCGTTCAGCTTTGTGGTTTCTGTTTGTTTGTTTGTTTGTTTCTCTCTACCCCTGAATTTGCACGATGAAATATCATTGACTAACAGAATTTTTTACAATTCCTCGAATATATAATCTCTCTAAGTAAGACTACCGTTAAAAATGTGCGAAAGGGGAGTTCACTTTGCACTTATTGCTCCACATCTTCAGTAAATTCCAACACCAGCCATTTCACTCCTCCTAAGGGACAGGACTTGGCCGAACGCTACTCTAAGAGTCTCCCTTCAAATGATCAAAGGCACTACTGGCAATAATGAGTGACAGAAAGGCGCTGATAGATAACACCCTATCATTGACCACTTTAGAATTTTTCTTTCTAAATGTACCACAATTTGGCACAATAAAATGAAAAAGTAACACAACAATTCCAATTTGGAATTTCACTGGTATAGTTGTATAAAATTCTGTTAATCAATAATACTTCGACTTCCTAAAACCCAGGAATTCTGGAATTTATAGGTAATACTACTTATTTAATATTTTTCAAGTGCCTATTACTGTTTTAACCAGAACAAAGTCAAGTTTTCTTCTTGTTACATTGAACTATTCCTAAGAATAATAATACAATATGAAAAAAACCCCAGAATTTGAATACCCTGGATTTCTTAATGAACATGGCAGTTAAAAAGAAAATCAGTAATTTAAACATATAAAGCTTAACATTTTATAATAATAAAAAAAGATGCTGAAGCACAGCACATAGTTTAGCAGAGCTCCTGTTTTTTGTTGAAACTCTTTTCTAATCACAATCTAGAGCCCCCCCAAAATCTCTGCCACATGCTGATATATAATTCATAAATCACAAGTTCCAAATTGGAGAGAGACTATGAGCACAAAACCACTGCATTTATATAAACTCTTCTACATAAGGAATTAAAGAAGCTAAAGAAAAATATCAAAAGTGCACAGGTTTAACAATCAGGTAAAAAAAAAAAAAGAGCATCTGCAATGAAATAAATTCCCCCATCCGACATTTCTAGGAGAGCACACACTAACATGGTGAGCGTTACATTTGAAGTAGGTTTCTTCAGCACTTGTAAGGTTTCTTACTGCAGCAGCACTTATAAGTAAAGCTTGTTTTTTCATAGCTTCAGGCAGAAAGGGAAGGTTTCAGGTAGTATATAGGAAAAGGTGTTTTCAAAAGTTAGGATCGGGTCAGTGGTTTCCACTCTGCAATGGGCCACCACTTTGAACCAGAGTGAGGAAGGCTAAGAAATGCTGTTGCACTGTTGGAAAGGCCTTCTCCAGGGACTACTCTACAGCTGAAAAATGGAAAAATAAAATAGCATTAGAAAAAAAAAAATATCAGTGTTTATTTCTCAATTAAAAGAACTGAAAACACAAACCTATGTGCAGGTTAGTTGGTTGGGGGTCTGTTAGCTGGCTGGGGGAGCAGCAGCCAGGCCACCTTCCCAGCTGGGTGAACAAGGCTCTATGGGCTCAGCCTGGAAGCAACAGCTTTGCAGAAAGAAGGATTCTTACAAGTACTGAATAAAGCTTTGCTGTTCAAGCACGAGTTAACAGCCATGGGTGCACAGGAAATGTTTTCAGTGAAGCTTTAGGTTCTCCAGAAACATGCAGGTCAGTGTGTCATGCAGGCCTATGCAGAGAACCATCCAGAAGAGCCTGCTCGCAGAGGTAGGTGATGGCTTAAGGAATTTTCCATGCTTTATCCCAACCCATTAAGACTGATAGGAAAGACTTACACGGCAAATGAATGTCTCAAAAAAAAAAAATAATCAAGAATTAAAAGACTCAGTCTTAAATATTCTCTAAAAACACAAACAGCAGGATCAAGTCACTTTACACTGTCCCTCAGTTCTTTTCCTAACAGGATGAACCGTAACGGTGACAGACTCCAAGAGCAGCCAGGCTGGCTTTTGTGGGTTTTAAAAGATTCACAGAAATGACTGAAGGTGGAAAGGACCACTAAGATTACTGGGCTAATAGCAGAATTCTTCATACTTGGAACTGAAAGAATGAGCCAAGTCTGACAGCAATAGTCACCTATCTGGTAACACCGAAAGCTTTACAGAAAATTCCAGATAATTTGAAAAAAAACCCCACCCTAACAATGCATTCAATTATGCAACTTAACAATGCATTCTCCAGTTTATCTTTTTGCCATTAGTATTTTGCAAAAATACTGTCATTGGAGACATGGAAGCAGTGAAAACTGTTTTAAAGCTCCCTACCATAGCGGAAGCAGAATTGTAACTGTGTCTACTGAAGCAGAGAAGGTTAGCACTCAAACACCTGCTTTCACCAAGTATTTTTAAAATGTACTTAATGCAGGAGTGAGAAGAATAAAGGCCTTTTGGAAGATTGTGCAGCAAAGAAGAGAAAAGCAGGATTGAAAATTGTAAAAGATGCCTCTTCTAAAATATCAAACCTGCTATTTAGCAATATTAAAGCTCAAATTCAGGAGAATTCAGTGTTTCTAAAAAAAGTAATAACAGACACACAGGGCCTAGTTTCTAAACCCAGAATTGCAGTTTGTTTAAACTCCCCAAGCAGTGATGTTTGAGCAACATATCAGAACTGAATCGCTTGGGGTTTTTTTCCTCCTCTCCGTATCAATAGATACAATTCTGGCTCTGGGTGGTGGCATTCCCACGGTTCCCAGCTTTGTAGCAAAGTTCCATTTGTTTGGAGTCTCATTGTATGAATTTCTAGAAGACTTCTCCCCCCGCCCCAATACCCTGAAATATCTGGGAAGCCAAAATCTCACGTGGGTTTCCCTCAAGTGGGAAAAGCAGCTGTGCTGTTTATTACCTTCTGTTAGCACTGGGATGTCTCCTGACTAGGCAGAGGCAGCGCGGGAGCAAGGGCTGAGCATCTACAGGGCCGGGGGAGAGGAGCAGAACCACAGCAGAGGGTTAGAACGGCTTTAGGGACCGCTTTTTAGTAACACTACAGGCATACAAAAGTCTTTGAAACAGAGTACAAAATGAACAGGGCTTTACATTAAAATAAAAGTCTGAGGCTAGGCACTTTGAAACTCCGGGTTAAACAAAGATCTGTGCCTTGCAGGGCGCTCCACAAATTTTCCACAATTTTAGAAGCAACGTTTTCAATCTTTTTTTCTCTTATGTAGGCACCAATTACGAAGTACACTTTTAGACTATCAAACTTCTTGTAATTAAGTGGCTAAAAAGGCCCCTTAGCAGTTCAAAAGCAGACAAAGGTTTATTTGTTTTTAAAGATTAATATGTATACTAAGCTACTTCATAAATCATTATCAGCAGGATGATCTGGTTCAATTTCCCGTGCCTCTAATGTAGAGCCCTGTGAAACACGTGCTTGCATACAGAATGCAAAATCTTCTGTGTACCTTAAAAAAATGATCAGAGCTCTGCAATGTTACCTATTTAGGTTAATACTGAAAGCTGTTTGTGACCACCAACGCTAGACCATAGTCACATCAATTCTACACATACATGTCGTGTGGCTACAGTGATACCTCAAACAGGTTCTTTCCAAAGTGTTACGCTTGTGAAGAGCAACATGAAACCACAAAGGTCCTTTCAAGACATAATTTCTTCAAGTGGAACTGTGTACCAGGTAGGATCCCAAATCTTAAACCTTTTAAGTTTTATATCAGATGGGGAAAATATTGCATATTTTTAATATAAATGTGCAAGTTTCTTCTGGTTATCCCTCTGAAGAGAGGGAAACAGGGCATAAATAATGTACCCTACCAAGTGTTTTTCTAGCTTTTATAGCCTATAAAAGCTTTAGGACTTTGGTCAGTGGTGATACAACAGCAAGTTTTTAACATTTCTCACAACAGGCAAATTGTTTGATTCCAGTTTCCAAATACTCTCTAATTTTGATGTTTGCTTTTCACCACTTCATAAGCCACAATAACAAGGAAGGTTTTCTGTTTGTTTCTGCCTGTGAAAGCATTTACTGAAGTATGCTGCAACCCTGGAGAAAGGATCACATTTGTGCTATACAAACTACAATTAGTAACACCAGATATACTCTATCAGGTGTACTCTTAACACTTACCATAAACAGCAAAACCCAGACATGTTAATTGTGGAAAAATCTAGTTCCTTTCCACTATTAACTTGTTAATAGCATCCCCATACTTATGCATTAGTTACAGTTAAGAACACCATAATACAATCAGTATTACCTGGTTCCACAACATACTAGTACAACTCACTGCGACGTTAGATAGTGGGGATTTATGCTGACGGTTACAGCATAAAATAAGATGCAGAATACGATTTTATTTTTTTCTAGACACCTGTCCTAGTCACAATAGATTTTATATTTCTCACTATAGAACACCTGGTTGTTCAGGACAGACCCTTCAGACCTGTCTCCGCAGGACCGAACGTGACTTACGCTGGGGTTACTGCCCTTGGCTTTGGAGGCGGATTTTGTGCGCACCCTTTTGGACTGCTCGTGGTCCAGCTCCAAGTGCTCCAGGCGCTGGGTCAAGGCCAGTTTCTGCTGGATGGCCATCCGGAGCAAGGAGTTCAGAGTCTTCTTTTCGTCCTCGGCCGCCGCGAGTTGCCGCTGCATTTCATCCAGCTGCGTGACGTACTCGTCACATCTGCAACGACACACAGCAGCCTTTAGCAATCCCAGCCCCACTGGAAGCCACAAACCCCTGGTGTCCGGCCTGCACCGGCAATGCAGCCACTTGCACACACACCCTTAAAGAGGAACTTCATCAAACCTGTAGGAAACCACATTTTCATAGGGTTCTTAAAAGCCCACGCTCAGCACTCCATGTGCTTTCAAGATGGAGTGTAATTAGGAGCCTCCCTGGAGGATGGAAGTGTGGAGTTTGATGTGTCTGAAGGGCAGTCAGATGTCCTCTCACAGCGAGTACAACCCACGCAGTCACGTTACTTTACAGAGATCACAGTGGTTCTAAGCTTCAGGCTGTAAAGGGTCTGAAGGGAGCAGCAGGAATGCTGTGAAATGGCCAGTGCTAAAATGGCCACTAACACCAGCTGATGAGCACCTGACCTTTACCATTCCTTACTTTACACAGAGTCCAAATAACAGATCTCCAGTGGTGACTGAACAGCAACTGTTAAAAATAAGCATCTTTAAAAATTCTACTTTAACCCACTCTGATTCCTAATGTAAGAATTCTACAAATAGTGGATGCTTTCTCAATAACAAGTGGTCTTTCTGTAATTGTTTTTGCCATTGAAACCTATTTTAAAACAATTAAAGGAACTGAGTGTTACTGGCAAGGCTGTGGTGAAGCTATATGGATGCCTCAAGCTGTTCTATCTACAGTCATTGTCACTGAGCCTGGAAGCTGCTTAGCTGGCACCACGAAAAACTTAAAAAATTAATGTCTTTTTGTGTAGATGCATATTTACTGCACAGAGGCAGTTATGCATATGGGTAGGGAAATAAATATTCATAGGTACCAGCTGGAATTTACAATGGCCCTTTACAACTTCTTCATAAAAACAAAAGTATCAGCGGAGAAGTTCCTTTTAATATTGAAATGGAAGAGCCCTTGACTTTAAGGGATATTTATTGTCATTAAGTAACATAAAGCAGACTGGAAAAAAACACCACTATGAAAAAAACCTGCATTGATATGCAGATTCATCAGCTGTGCTCATACTATCAAGCCTCTAATTCTGCTCTCCCCTACTTTAAATAGCAGGATTAGGCCTATATTCCTAAATATATTTGCCTGGGAAAAGAAAAAGGAAAAAGAAAAAAACCCTAGAATTTTATTTTTGAATACACGTGGAGATTAACCAGTAGCCTAGAAATATCCATATAAAACTGCATGAACTATAACTGTGCTGCAACTTCAGAGACCAAGAGGTTTTGGTGAGTTTGGGACCCCCATATGCACAGGAATCTGTCCCCTCACATCTCTGGGCACCCTGGAGTTCTCACAGCCTGTCCCACACTGTGCAGCCCAGAGGAAAACCACCGAGTGAGGGGTTTCTCTTTTGAAGAAAACAAACCCAGGGACCCTTAACTTGCTGGAAGCCCAGCACCTGCCAGATGGACTGAGAGCACAACCAACCCCTCCACCCCAGGCAGCAGAAGCAGACTCAGGGTCAGATCTTGTCCCATAAACCTATTTAAGCTCTAGAGAGGAGCACAGACTGAAATAGCCCTGAGAAGTCTAAAAAGGGCATAACAGTCCTCCTCTCTGAGGGAGGGCAGCACCATCTCCAGAAGGAGGGCATGGCCACAGAACTGAACAGCTCAAAGCACCTGGTGACCCTGTGCCCTGCTGCTCCAGAGGATTAGAGAGGTGTTTTCTTCCCTTAGGAGTGGGAAGGAGGCACAGGCTAAAGATTCCTGGGAGGCCTGAGGGCTGTGAGGTTTCCCTCCACACCTTTCACACCCACTCATGACATTTGAGGTGAAAAGCCAAGTCCGGTTATATCAAAAGTGACCTTTTTCTGCCCACACTTCAAATCTGGTTCCTTCCAAGCTCCACTGCTGCAAACCAGGGGAATGTCCAGACAGCGTTACCAATTCCTTGAGGAATATGGAATGCAATTGCTGCAGGAAAATATGATCTGGTACTAGAGTGGGCTGTCCCTGCTCCCCTTATTTCATTCTCACTATTACCCTCCCAAAAGATCTGGGCAAGGTGAAATTTTAAGGAGGTTTTTCCTCCCCTTTTCCAGCTTCTTTCTTGTGAATCAAAACATATCCACTTTTTTTGTACAGACGGGGCCCTGAAACTTTCAGCTCAGTGAAGCAGTGTCAGGACTGCTGCTATCTATTGATTTGATTGGCACCAGAGAGGTGCTAATCCAAGCCAGACATGGCAAGGGGGCAGATCTCTTCCCCCCATCCCATTTAGAACAAGAAGAGATGATGAAGAGATAACAAAACTCTGGCAGTAAAGCAGAGCAGGGGCTGCCCACGTGGTCTTGCTCATGTTCTGATATCACTCCTGCCTCTTGATCAAGCACAGCCAAAGCCAGTGGCTGACTGGTGACACAGACAGATGCCTGGCAGAGTTTAGAAGGCAATGAAGTCTTTCCTATGTGAGCCAAGCTATAATTAAAGCCAGGATTTTGACTCCAAAAGATTATTGTAGCAAGTCATTATCTCATCAAGCTTCCTGTTAGCACAAAGATTTACAACATCAAATAACTGTGCCTAGAAATGACAAGGTATTCACTATTTCAAATACCTAAATTAGCTTTTTTTTTCCCCCCTCCTTTGTTTTCCATAAAATTATATTCAGGGAGTTTTTACTTCCTTTCACACACAAGGGAGGTGTTATCAGTAGCACCTGCAGTTTTTAACTGTACCTGAGCAACTCTTCTCACCTATATAGGAGGGGACTGGGCAGAGGCAGGAGTATGAGCTACTCTGCCTATGCACTGCCCTGTGTCCTGAACCTGGTTTGCTGATCTTTAAGCCAAAAGGGATCATACAGCCTCAAAACTGAAACCTTGTCCTGGTGCAAGCACGGCTGTCCAGGGGCAGAGAACACCCCTGTGCAAAGCACAGCAATTATTCACTGGAACAAAGGGTAAAGAAGTTCCCTAAAAGTGGCTGTAGAAGCTGCATGCAGAGGTGGACTGGGATCTGCCCCACTTCCTTCCTTCCTTCCTTCCTGCTGCTTGCTGACTCCCAGTTTAATTTTCTTAACCCCCCCAAACCCCAACAATGTAGCCTCCCTAAGCATCTAAGACAGCACAGCCTCTGGCACTGCTTTAGCTGGCAGCAGCAGCTCTGGCAGCACATCTTTGTGTTGTGTGTGTGTATATTTTCACTGCTTTGCAGATGGAATAATAAAAGCTCCTTCCCTTTTGCAATTCCATTTGCTAGCTGCTAAGCTACTTCCCAGCTGTATATCCAATAAAGTCAGAACAGAAGATGTCTTTGTTTTAAAAACACCTTTGAAAGAAAATAATTAAGCTTTCATGCGTTTAGGAAGGATATGAAATTAGCATAAGCCTGTTGTACTTTCACACATTCACAACTTTAAGTGGATAGTGAACACAAGGCTTTAATGCTGCCCATTTTCTTACTGTGGGCAATTAACAACAACAACAAAAAAGAAGCTTAAGGAAACTTCAGCTAGATTTTTAAAACTGTTGTCAGCTAAAACAAATATCTACAAAGAGGAAATAAATATCGTAAGTGTTAAATATAATGATGAGAAATTAAATACTCTAAAACACTCTCTGAAGCCAAATTATCGAAAAACCTAACAATGGTTTGTGGCATTTTCCAAAGCTGCACACCACTGCTTCCCACAAACACCAGTTGTGCCTTATTCTACAGACCAGTTTATGTAAGATTTAGCAGGTACTAGTTTTAATACCATTTATAGCTAAATTCGCCAGTAAATCAAGGTCTGTTTCAGGGAAAAAAAAAAAAAAAGTGATGTAACCAAATGCACCTGGGCATAATTAGACTTTTCCCTCTCCTCTGCAATCAGTGAGAACCACGTGACAACTTCCAAGGAAGCAAGACAGATGTGACTGAAGAAGGCATTAGAGAGAAGCATCAGCTTCTTCCACCTTGAGAGATTAGACTGTCAATGCACATAAGAAATTCAAACATGGAGGATTAAAATCACAATTTTTCAGCATTATTAAAAACTGGGAAATGTATTAGCAAAGACACAGTCAAAATGAGATGTAAATGAGCACTGACTGCATTCGGCTGTAAGAGATCAGCCATGTGCTGTTTCTAACTCTTTATATTAGAAATTAATATGAAAGACTGATTTTTAACACCTTCCTCCCACCTTCCCCTTAACCCAACCCCTGGTGAAAACCAGCTCATCTGCAGAGGAAGAGATAATCTGTGTTCCCAGAGGAACACAGGGAAGAAGGTTACGGCAGCAACAAAGCCACAGAAGCTCCTTTCACAAGGGCTCTTCTGCTCTGCCTTGTGTGGCACATGTGGGGTACCAGAGATGGGCTCCTCAGCATCCAGGGGAGATTTGGAGCCAGTCTGTGCACCATTTGGATGTTGAAGTGGAAGAACAGAAGGTGGTTATTAGGGACTGACAGCAGAAGACAGGCCCGTCTTCAGAAACCAGATCATTTCCATGATCTCAGGCAATCTGCCTGAGCTGGTCTCCTCTGAGGGAACTCAAAATGGCAGAAGCTCAAGCATGTCTGTGAGAGCACCTCCAAGTCTCTGTAAACACCTCTAGTAAACACTCTACACAGAAATTCTGCTTCACAGAACAGACAGAGAATAAACAACAGAAGGAATAATATATGGTTTCCCACACTAATATTCTCCAGGTCTTGGTATTCCCAGGTGCAGGGTCACTGGAGTGGATCTACTTCTGCTTTAAATCCTTTCCTCACAACACCCCAGATTTAGGCAGTTTACAGTTACAGATAAGCAACTTCAAGGGAATGGAAACCTTTAGCCAATTGCTAATTTGTGATTACTTCCTCAATACCTTGCACCAAAAAAACTCACCTGAGTTGTATTATTTGAAATAAATAAAACCTGTGGCCTTTATTTGCGTAATTTACTGTGATTTTCACTATGAACAGAGACGGTTTATATCCATCTATAGTTTTCTAGAACCTTCATAATCAGCCATGTGTAATCAAAGTGTGTTAG